ATAGAATAGAATAGAATAGAAAGAATAGAATAGAATAATAGAATTGAATAGAATAGAAAGAATAGAATAGAATGAATAGAATAGAATAGAAAGAATAGAATAGAAAGAATAGAATAGAATAGAATAGAATAGAATAGAATAGAAAGAATAGAATAGAAATAAAACAGCTGACACACCACAGAAAGAACATGTGAATAAGGAATAACTGGTGAACAAACTGTACAGGTAAAAATTAATGAATATAAAAAAATGAAAGGACAATACCATGTGGCAAGAGACATGACAAAAAGAGGACTAAGTAAAAGAAAAAAAATAGGCAGAGCTAGGCATGATGGTGATGGCCTTTAATCCTAGCATGCAGGAGGCATGAGTTCAAGGCCAGCCTGGTCTGCATTGTGAGTTTCAGACCGGGCAAAGATACGTAAGGAGACCCTGTCTCAAAAAAACAAAAAACAATGAAAAAGAAACAAGAGGGCAGGTGAGAAGGCTTAGTGGGTAAAGGCACCTATTCCACAAACCAGTGATGTGAATTCAATCTGTGGAACCACATAATGGTGGGAAAAGAACAAACTCCGTAAAGTTATCCTCTGCCCTTTGTACATGTCCAGTGACATTCCCCCTACCCAACTTCATACACACATAGATCACACTAATAGTAAATAAAATATAAAAACAAGCTGGGCATAGTGGCGCATGCCTTTAATCGCAGCACTGGGGAGACAGAGGCAGGCGGATCTCTGTGAGTTCAAGGCCAGCCTGGTCTACACAGTGAGTTCCAGGACAGCTGGGGCTACAGGGAGACCCTGTCTCAAAAAGACCAAAAAATAAAAAATAAAAATAAAATAAAAATAAAAATAAGACTCAAAAGGAAAATAACATGTGAAAGGGGAAAAATAAGGAAGAGATAAAAGTAAAATGAGATAAAACAAAGTTAAATAAGTATACAAGAAAGAATAAAAACAAACACAAAAGAGTTGAAAAAAATGAAATAAAGTGAAGACATTAACAATATAGCAAAAATGTGTGAAAACAAAAAGAAAACAACTAATTGAACAAGCATCTTATCTGTGCTCTGATATTGGCAACTGTTGGCAGGGTTCCTAAGTAGCTAGAAGCTGATGTAATTCTTCTGTCCTCACCTTGCCAGTCCCTGCTTTATGCTGGCTGACTACTGGCACATCAAGATTATGTTGTCATCAACAGAGCAGCATTCAATTAAGAAATCTATTTGTTTGCATACAAGGAACCAATACTGATATCAGGCTTTGTAATTTGTGGGCTCCTGGCTCTAGAAGTCACAAATTCTGTACACTGAGGGAAGGCAAAATTTCAATCCAAAGGGTGTGCCCTCAGTGCCAGGTTGTTACAGAGGGAAAGCACCAGGTCTATGTGTCTTGGTGCTTTCAGAACCCAAATAATAGTAAACCACAATGTGGTAAAGAGGCGGCTGTAGAAATCCAGAGACCTGTCTGATATGAACACAAAAGTCTCAGTCCTATTGTCCACCTTACTACACAGAGATAGAAGGATGGCTTGGAGGCTAAGCAATATGCTTGCTCAGTCTTCCTGTCCTTAACACTGGTCCATAAGCAATAAAGCTCACTCCTTATCACAGAAGGTGCAATCACCAAAACCTCTTGTGATGGCTAATCTCAGTTGTCAACTTGAATGGATTTAGTATCAACTAAAATGCAAGCTTCTGAGCATTCCCACAAAGAACTTTCAGATTATTTGAAGTGTGAAGACCTACATATAGGTAGCATGCCATCCTAGTGGCAGCCCATATAGAAGGACATGAAAGAAGGAAGCTTTTGCTTTTCACCTGCTTGTCTTCACTCTCAGTGGCAAGTTCATCTAACCTGTGGGTGCTGCATTCCTTCCCTGACATTAGAACTTACTTCCTATATAGACTGAAGACTAGCAGCTCTCCAGGAATCTTTTAGGCCTTCAGTGCCAGGTTGGGACTACTGAGATATCCAGTCTCACGGACTGAACAAGTACCAGATTTTTGGCCCCTCCAGTGTGAGAAAGTAATTGTCAGACTACTACCCAGGCCATATCCTGTAAACAAATCTAATAAGTGTGTGTGTGTGTGTGTGTGTGTGTGTGTGTGTGTGTGTGTGTGTTCTATCAGTTCTTTTCCTCTAGAGAACACTAGCTAATATGCCTCTGTCCCTTGAACTCCTTAACTCTTAACTTTCTCAGTGATTATACAGCTAACCCTGTCCATTTCCATGGCTGCCTTGTGGCGAACTCTTACACACAAAGCTTCTGAGCAGTTCTGTGGGGGACTTTCAGATTATTTGAAGTGAGGAGACCCTAAATGTGGATGGAACACCCCTTTTGGTGACAACCTGTGTAAAGGGACATGGAAGAAGGAAGTTTTAGCTTTTTGCCTGCTTGTCTTCACTCTTCCTGGCAAGGCCATCCACCCTGTGTCTACAGCCTCCTGGGTTTTTCATGTCTAAGGAGTAAAGGGTATTTGGTTACTGCACTGTATGATATGTGGATAAATGCAATCAATTTGTTCTTCAAAGCTAGTGTGCCAGACAAAACCATTCTACACAATTTAACACTGGAAAGAACCAGAGGTAAGGTTTGTAACACAGCTCTGGTGATAGACTGCCAAGCTTTGACAAAGCAAAGTACCACATAAACCCAGGTGTGATAGTTCATGCCTCTAATCTAGCCAATCAGGAGGCAGAGGCAGGAGGATCAGACTTTCAAGTTTACCCTTGGCTAGTTGATGAGTTTGAGGCCAGCCTGGGCTACAAGACACTCTACATTTTCCTACCCCTACCCCCAAAAAAGAACCATAGGTTTTTCTTGTAACCATGAATGTCACTTTGTTGTCAGCAGAGCATTTTTGATTCTGTGTTTACACTGAGGTTCTGGCTTTGGATTCTTCTCCCACATGGGTCATGATGTTTGAGGTGTGGATTGTTTCCTAGTTTTCACTGCATTGCCTTTTTGTTTTCAGAGTTGTAGTTGTGATGATATTTCTTTCTTAACCTCCAACAAAGATCCTCCCTGTATTTACCTGGGATAGACTAGCTCTTTTGTGAACTCTACTACATAAACTTCTAATCTGCCATCCTGCCCTGAAAATTATATTCTTTTCACATTTTCTTACATTAAATATTCCCTTGAATCCCAAATTTGAATCTCCATTCTAATCATGGTTAATATCAAGTCTTGAACTAATATCCACTCTTGTATTATATGGCAAATGTGGATAAGTTATCTCAAAGTTAAACTCAATGAATACGTCCTTAATAGTGAGTTAGCTTTACTTCTTTCCTGAAATAAAATCACATCTGTTTTTTCTCTTTCCTTCCAGTAAATATTCTTCTGGCCTTTATCTACCATGATACATTTTTGCTAATTTTGCTTTCATTGGATATAAGCACTTTAAGGGGAAATGCACACTTATATGACTACTAGTGATATCACCACAATTACAAAGACAACTGTCAATGACGTCATCAGAGAGCAAGTGTTAGAAGAACACATCAACAAAGGACTAATAAAAAACTGTAATCTATGCCGTAGATGAGGAATAGCTGATCCTCCTGGAACAGGGACCTCTGGCTAACTAGATTTACCAGAAGGGCAGATAGGGGGGAATGGATGGGGGTGCTGACAGCACAGTGGACAGT